TCATTCCTTTCAGGGATATCATGGATTGCCTGGACCCAAGGTGAGACTGGGAAGCACTGTTGAAACTTCATGTTCATAGGAGATTAAATATTTAACATCAATCTAACATAAGTTTAAATATAACACAGGGAGAGCCTGGTGAGGCAGTTAAAGGAGTAAAGGGCGATGCTGGAGAGAAAGGTCCACCTGGGCAACGGGTAAGTTTTGCTGCAAAAACCAATATGCAGGAACCACATCAAGACTGGGTTGATACAGTTCTGCTGCTTGTGCTTAGGGTCTTCAAGGCTTTCCAGGGTCTAATGGCTTGGTAGGCCTGCCAGGTGCAAAAGGTGAAAAGGTCAGTGTTTTGTACACCTTAAACGACAAGTTAATAAGGCTTAAAATGACTACAAATAACCTGTTAATGTTTTTTCTTTTGCCATTGTGGTTTGTTTTCAAGGGGAAACAAGGTGAACCAGGTTTAGATGTAAGTAATCATTATGCTGTTAGTTATGTAAGTATATGAAGTCATTACTTACTCAACATGGCACTCCTGTGATAGGGTTTCCCTGGGCTTCAAGGAGAAAAGGGGGACAGAGGAGACAAGGGGGAGAAGGTTAATGATTTTTGCTTTTAATACTGCATATATGGTATATTATTTTAAACTCAATTCTTAATGCTGTACGAGTACAATCTCAACAGCTTTATTCAAAACAGTTTCAATTTTACCATACCTCTTTTATGTGCTCTTATTTATTTCAACATGCAGGGTGACAGAGGTTCAATAGGAAAAAAAGGTCTGAAAGGACAGAAGGGAGAGCAGGGACCTCCAGGGCTTGATCAGCCTTGTCCTGTGGTATGTCATGAAACCATGTGAATGTTGTTGCAATGTTTTTTTTTTTTTTTTTTAATCCCTTCAATGCAAGTATATGGCAAAGTCAGCTCCATGTGCATGTATTGAAATAATTTACTACAATTAAAATTTGACATGGATGGGTTTCACTGATAGGACTCCAGTGGGTTTAGAGAACATGGTGGGGAGGCAGGGGCTCCATCAGATGCCCCCTGCCCTTTGGTACAGTATTTTATTGTTTTTCTTGTGTGTGTGTCCACATCATTTCGATGTTTCCATCCTGGTGCTTAGGGCTCCCTAGTCCACAACCATGAGATCTAACTCTCAGGATGGCTTGGCATAGACCAGAGCTTCTGAAATTCTTTATCAGAAGTGTTTTTATAATTTCTAACAATGCAAAGTTTGCCCCACACACAAATGAATTCTAACCAGGGACATACAAAACTGCATATTTTTAAAATTGACAACTGTCAAGTGTTAAAAGGATAGTTCACCTTCAGTTGCTGGTCCCCATTAACTTTCATATTATGGGAAAAAACACTGTAAGTCAATAAGGACCAACTGAAAGTGAACTATCCCTTTAAAGGTCCCCTGAAGTGCCTTGAAGCACGCAGCGTTATTCTATGTGGTGACGTAATTTCAACTGAAACAGGAAGACAGGGCGGGACATATCGAGCAGCCCCGCCCCCTTTTTAAATGAGCCAATAGCATTTGTTTATATCTGCACGGGTCATAGCCGTTGAGCTCGGTAAAGCCGCATTTGACAGCCACAGTCTAATAGATTACCCCCTAGATTCAATATGAAACTCTTAGTAATACAAAATAGTGATCATAATCATGCTGAGGCTGTGTAATTATAACCAATCACACAATATTCTGTTGAGCTAATGAATGCAATGACCAATCAGAGACGTTCAGATGAGTCATTGCTGAAACGTGTTTTGTTCAGTTGCTTGCTGACTGAATTATCTGGCGAATTCTCTCATCAGAAACAACAAAGTGCAGATGTGTGTACAAATGTAAGTAAGATATTCATTTCACAGTGTAAACAGCTTCAGTGATTTTAACAGGAGTTTTTGAGAGTGTCTGAACTCTGGCTGAATGAAAGTGAAAGTGAAGTGACGTGTGGCCATGTATGGTGAACCTTACTCGGAATTTGTGCTCTGCATTTAACCCATCCAAGTGCACACACACAGTAGTGAACACACTCACACCGTGAACACACAGCTGGAAAATATTCTTTGATAGCGTAAATGTTCTTTGCTCTCTGTAAAATGAAAGTTTTATAATTAGTAACTTACAATATTGTTATTAAATTCACATTAAATACAAAATCAGTCATATTAAAAATATTTTATGGCATGACACCCATATCTGGTACTTAAGTAAAAAGTTGGGTTTTTATGTGTCTGGAATGGATTGCACTATTAGTATACTTTGCCCATCACCATTTATTGATCAAATAGCAATCTATAAAGGTGCAAAACGCATTTACTTTCACATATTTGAGAATCAAGATGTTTGCTTATATAGATAATACGTTTGGAAATATTTCGAATAAAACGGAAAAAAAGAATTAAAACATAAGCCATAAGTATGTACAAGTCATTGGTGTTTGGTGATGAGTTTTTGGCTCAAGGTCTGCATTTAAAAATCACACCAGAGGTGTTCAGCTGGGATTAGGGCTTGGCTTTCTGCAGACCAGTGAAGCTCTTCCACACTGACTGAATCAATCTTTTTTTTTTTTACCTTGCCTTATACACAGAGGCATTGTTGTGTTAGAATAGAAAATGGTCCTGTTCAAACTATTGGAATAAAATTAGAAGCACACAATTCCCTAGAATAGCATTATATGCTTTTTTTTTTTTAATTTGAAATTACTAAAGTAGTCAAACCTGTTCATTAGAAGGGGGTGTCCCAATACTTTTGGCAATATAAGCCGCGTTTCCACTGCAGGAACTTTCCCCAGGAACTAGGGACTTTGGGCCGGTACTCGGTGTGTTTCCACCGCAGGAACCAGGATCTAAATAAAGTTCCGGGTAAAAAAAATTGCCCCTCAGAAAGTCCCTGCTCGAGAGGTAGTACTTTTTCAAAGGTCCGGAACATTCGGGGGCGGGACTTGAGCGCTGAACATGCTGATTGGTTGAGTTCACGCAGCATTGTCTTTCAACCACCATTTGCATTTTTTTTTATATTACTGTTATTGTGTCATGAAATGTCGTTTTTAAAGTATTTCAGGCGAGAATGTAGTTGTTTAAAACTCAAATCTGCGTTTTTTTTATAAAAACAATATTTGAAAATGTGCTTCGTCGATTTTGGAGACGGGAGCTTCACGCGATCAGCCGGTGCTCAGTGCTCATGTATCCCGACGAGAGCAGCCTCAACTCGGCTAGTCCTTCTGACATTTGCCGCTGGCTCTGATGTCTCGGTAGTGGATAAACATAAGATATAATTTGTTTTGGGTAAATCTTAACAGTAGAGATGCACTGATTGCAATTTTCTTGGACGAAAATTGATTAAAAAAAAGTAATAAAATAAGAACACAAAAAATTGCAAACAACAGCACAAATAAATGCAATAGAATAAAGAGAGCTATGAAACTAAGTTTTTCAAGTAAGTTTTTATTCAGGTAAGAAATACTACAGAAATTAAAGTAATCAAATGTAAAATAACACATCCTGTGTTATTTTACAGTTGATTAATTTCTGTAGTCATCATTGTAAAAATTAAATACAGATTAATGCTTACCATTAAAGTTATAAAACGTATTCAGTCAAGAGCAGAAAGTGATTTTCTTTGTCTTTTGTTCTTTGATTAATATGGCAGACAGACAGCAACAGGAATATTGGACTGCGGTCCCTTTAAGAGTTTATCCACGGACCCAATATACTGTTACACAACATGCATTCTCTTTTTCAACTATTTAACGTTCCAAAACTGACTGTGTTTAACTGGTTACTGGCCAAGACGGGCATTTTGACATTATTTTGTATGTATTTGAACGTTTTAGCGCAGTTAGCCACTCATTTTGGTATTTGTGGCTCACAAGTTGTTTGAGACTGAGCGCGGCTTGTGTGATCCACTAATATAGATCAGTGATGGTGCGCGCTTTTGGTGTAAGCGCGAAACCTGCGGGAATTACTAAAATAATGCGCAATACAAGGACTATTTAACCGGAGCGAATGAGACGTGTGTGAGAGAGAAGGGGTCGTCGGAGAGAAGAGAGTGAGAATGCGTGGCTGACGTTATTGCCTGTGCCACTGGTAACAAAACGGATCGGCTCGGAATCGGAAAGAAGTGAGAGGAAAATTGGCCGATTCTGATCCCTGGCCGATTGATCGGTGCATCTCTACTTAACAGGTAATCTTTGGTCTTTATTCTATTAATCTATTAATATGTTAAAATTTTAATGAAAACAGGCAATGTTTGATATAATATTTCATTTAATTGTAATGTAGGCCATGTACGTTCCCTGAACATTTCTGTGGCTATTATTATGTTTAAATGAAAACAAAAAGTCTTTTTGTAAATACAGTGAGGAAAATTGCAGTGTAGCCAAGTTGAGCTGACTGATGTTATCAAGTACGCTACTGTTTGCAGAATTACCGGACATGCGTCGTCCCGTCCGCGGGAGCGAAGTCCGAACTACCGAGGATGCAAGTCCGAAATTAGTGTACTTGGTATTGAAACGCACGCAGACCTACGTCACCAGACTATTTGCCTATTCTTCTCGGTACTTTAGACCGCGATGGAAACGCAGACAGCAACAGATCTGGGGGGGGGGGGGGGGAGTTCCTGGTACAATTGTTCCAGGTAATTTCGGTGGAAACGCAGCTATAGTGTACAAGCCAGCCTAGCTATTCAAAATCTTTGGCTGCAATTTTATAATATTGACCTATTACTTTTACTATTGCTTTTGACCATTAGGTATCAGTAGCATAATTCATTCAGAACCTGTTTTATGGACATATACTTTCTGTACAACACTATTCTGCTAATATGGAATGAGTTTGACTACTTAATCAGTTATATTAATAGAAATGCTTCACTGGGGCAAACAAAAAAAATCATAAAAATCATAAATCACAATCATAAAATAATAAATAGGATACCCCATAGCAGCATTTCCAGCATTATCCAACATTTCTCAATCATGATCTTACTCAGCTAAATGTAACTATTAGCTTAACAGCTGTATTCCTTGTTTGCTAGCTACCTATGCACATACAGCATACAATGTTAAAAATTAGGGATGTAACAATTCACTCAACTCACGATTCGATTTGCAATTATTATTATTTTTTTTTACAAAATTAGGTTTAAGACAAATTATAAATAAATGAGTCCTTTTATTATTGCTTGGACAAAATGCTGCATGCTTCTTTGTGAAATTGAAATATAACACTATATAACATGCTCTTTTGTTGGTTTTGATTGCTTCTATTGTCCTCATTTGTAAGTTGCTTTGGATAAAAGCATCTGCTAAATAACAATTTAAATATAATGTAAATGTAAATAACAAAACTAAATTAACATTTTAAATCAAGCCCCAAATCAAATAAATAAGTAACACAAATAAAATAAATATCTTCATATAAACAAAATAAGGCTTTGTCTGTGCTCTTTCCATTTAAAATTAGAGGCAATCATTTCCAAACAATGATATAATTATGTTTAATAATCATTAAACATAATAATAATAATCATTATCCAAACAAAGATGCTGCATACAGGCAACATGAGGATTTTTTAAATCTAAATTACATTGTATAATTTCTAAATTTGAAGCAAAAACAGAATGGTTTGACTTCAGTTTTGTGAAACTATACATAAAAATATCTGCATGAAACAGCAGACGAGCTGAACGAGACGCAGATTCACTCTCTGCCAGCAGGTGGCGCTTAAAGCGTTTCCTTGGTTTCCGCTGTAATCAAAGCAGCACTGCACTTATGAACTTTAATATGCATTTTACAGAGGCAAGATGAAAAGAAAAAATACCATCT